GCCTTCTGAAGGCCCTGATTTCGGATATGAAGTCGAGCATCCCAAAAACCCCTATTTTGGAGAAAGCGGGACCGGTGGAAGTGGAGTTTACAGGGCTTCGGCGCGGTTATCGCCCGGCGTATATCAGCGCCGCAGCCCCCAAAGCTGCAAAATGGGCGGAGTGACCAGCTTTGGATCACGTATCACGTACTTTCCAGAGCGGATTTCTCGCTCCGGAAGCAATCTTTTGCGGGGAAACTTGGGGACTGGCCTAGTGTGGGGGTCCACATTAGTATGCCATTGAATCTCGTGAACCCTCACTTTGGGTGGACGGTGCCTTTAAGCACAGTTCATGCCCTCTATCGATGTCCAGAGCTGAACTTTCTATTTTTTTATTCAATACGCTCTTGGCGTTCCTTACAAACCTAACTTTTGCGACTATTGATGCTAAACTTGAGTTTGTTGCTCCGAAATTTACAGGGATAAGAGCACTCGATTATCCTAGCCCTTACAGTATGATGCTAGACGAACTGGGAATAGTTAACTCTCACCTGCTTCAATAACTCCCTAAGAATTCCCCAAAAAATTTTCAGGAAATGTTTGAAATTTCAAATTTTTGCGCTATCAGGAATTGCATTGCTCTGAGTAAGGGAAATGATGGTTTCATGTTCAAACTGACTAGCCAAAATCCACTCTAAATCGCACATATAACAAGATCAGCATCAGACATCAAGCTAATGCTATGGGTAGCTTCATTTTATTCATGCTCAGAAAGCTTGTATTAACAATCTTTGTTATCCGCAACCTTAAATTTCAACAAGGAAAGGTTTCCGATTTAGAGAATAAAATAGCAGAAAAAAAAAGAAATAAAGGTCCCGGTGAGCACTATATAGTAGATAGAATCACAACACAAAAGGCCATTGTCACTATCCTTTCCATGTAGCTAATGACAAGACCTTTTCCCTGAAATGCTGGAACTTTGAACCATGGTATGTGTAGGATAATCCAACAGCTTAAATCAAGGCAATAAATCTTCACCTGCTCATCTCATTCCCTTCCGATTCCACTCTCGTTTTTGTCCTTCCACGTTTGCCTTTCGCATTTTTCTGCTAAATAAATGCTCAGCGCTATCTAACAGATTTCCTGATGTAAAATGGAGGTAGTTTCCCGAAGCTATTGGTTTTTAGACTAGACTCTTGATGAGACTCAAACCATGCAGATATAGCTCATATCAGGCCATTCGATCTTTACTGCCATCTCATTATACTCTACAGTTGTCGCTTTTGAAATTGTTGGAATTTTATCTCGTCTCTAGTATGTTCTTTTTCTACTTTTGGAAAATAGGGTTACGAATCTCTCACAAATACGTAAGCTCTATTTGTTTGTTATATAACTAGTGAACAGTAATCTAAAGGTGCTATTTGGAAAAGCGTTCGCTTCGACCCGCCGCGGTTTCCCGCTATTGGAAGGTTTTTGAATTAAGCTTACGATTCTTTATATATCAGGTTGTGAGCGAATTTCATTACATGCATTCCAACTTTTTCATTGAATACATGTTTTCGAAATTCTGGCTTTTTTTTGAAAATCTTAAAAATATCTATTTTCAATGGTTCTGACGGTGAATCAAAATCCTTGGAATTTTTGAAACTAAGTTGCTAGCTTTTTGTAGCTCACAAGACTCTGTTTTTATCCGAAGAGATGAGCTTTTAAGTATCCGAATTTGTCTTTTATAAAAAAAATTTTCAACAGAAACCTCCCATAAGTTCTTCAAGACTAGATTTTCCAAGCCCGGAAGCATCTAGTATTTGCACTTCCTTGCTTGCAAACTTTTGCAAAACAACGACTACCTTTTTCCTGGGAATCCATGAGAAAATGGCCTAAAACTCCCACTTCGAATTTTATGACGAAAAAAATTCGCATATTAATTTTCAAGCTTTCGTCGACGCTGATTGCTTAGTGTTGGCTAATTTATTTGCACAAAATGCAGCTGCAAAATTGTGGGGAACACGATAAACGACAAGCTGTGCACGGGAAAAGCCAAAGAATTTCTTCATATCGCATGTCACTGCATTCTTTCGTTTGCGCAATGAAGAAATTCTAGATTTTGCTTGAGAATTTTTGCGTCAAATTTCTGCTTTTTTAAGCGCTGGTCAATTAACATTTTTTGAACCTAACAATTTTTAATTTTCATTGTCTGCATTAGCACTCATGAATTCAGCTTATGATTTCGTAATCTCGACATCGAGTTGTAGCCCTCTTTCTTTCGAAAATGGATCGCGAAATTTTTGAAATTTACTTATATGGGTTATGAAAATGCGCAAGTGACTTGTTCATTATTGTAAATAATTAAAATAATTTTGAAATTTCCATTTCATAATATTTATAATTTTCATGTTCGAGTAAATCTGCCGCCATAACAAACCTGCACGGCACAATAAAGCTGAAGGTTATAGGCAGTTTTGAAATTTTTTGAAAGTTCAAAAGCCTTGTAGAAAAATTTTTTCAGAGGGGGGTATGTAGTTCGAGTTGATTCATTACAAGAGAACTCCTATAAAAAATATTTGCAGGTGTCTCACTGATGAATCAGGTCAAAAACTCGCTACTTGATCTTTCATTTTTCCTCCGTATTTTTCTCTCATCAAATTGCCAACAAATGGGGAATTCAACTTTTTTGTCGTTATTCGAATTTGTTGATGGGATATCTAGTTGGTTGACCCTTTATTTGATTTTTTCGAACGAAATCGCAGCCACTAGGGCAATCGAATTTTCTCGCCTCATCTTTTAGTGAGTGATCTTTTTCATGCTATGTACTCCCCTTTTGCGCTCAAAAGTTTGTAACTTGTGAGCTTTATGCATGGATAATACTGATCAAAACCTCAAACGTGATTTCTCGAGTTAATTTTTGAGAAAAAAAATCGTGCAAAGTAGACAATGGTTGCGTGATCTGCAACATGATACATACTGCTGGCAAGAAATAGTGTTTATTTATCACAATCAGTTTTTATAAATTCACATCATTGCCTATACTGTCACGCAATTGCGTCAAATTTCAAAACTTCAGAAAAGTTTATTTCGCTTTGTACCTCTAGCCCCCAGAAGAAATTTACTGGAACCGCCATCGATGGGTTCATACCAGGGCTCAGCACAGGTGGCTTATAAGCAAGCTGGATGTCGTTTTTGTGACCGAAAAAACAGAATTTAGGTTACGTTTTTGGGGGGTTTTACGTTTGGGGTTTAGAGTCAAAAGGGGCTTCGTAAAATTTTGCGAAATTAGAGGGGGAATTAGTTTATTGCATTTTCGAAAATCCTTCTCGTGTCCTGTAAGTATCTTTTTACTCATTGTTGAATAAGCCCTTTTTATAGTTTTTTCTTTTATTTTTGCTTAATTGAGATTTTACTAAAATATTGTTGCTTACAGTCTTGGGAGAAGAACAAATCGCGACGGTTTTCTATGCCTTTCACAAATAATTAATTTTCAGAGTTTTGCAGAAAAACAATGAGCATTGTTGAAATGTGATATGTTAGCAAACAAGCTATTCGTTTCTTTTTCTCTTTTTTATTTGTCATAAATTATGCTGTAACATTACGCTGTAATTCTAGAATATCTTTCCCTTATTCTAGTTTCAAAAAGTGAAAGACTGAAAAATGGTTTCTTTGTTTTTTATCAATAAAATCTTAATATTCCTCTCAAAATATAAAATAAATAAAATAAATAAAAGTTCAAGAAATTAATTGAAATTAAAAAAATTTATGAAATAAACAGCAAAAAATAATAAAGAAAATAATAAAAAATTAAAAGTTAAAAAATAAAATAAGAATTTCGAATAGAAAGGATCATTGCGCCTCCCTCGGCATTAACTCCCCCCCTCTCTCCCGAAAGCAAACCCCATATCCAGGCTTCCTTCCACAAGTCCTCGTTCTCATTCCACACAGTGCGCATAAATTTGTGTGCATCCTCAATGCACGCTTGTTTTCTATAGAAGCCATTCGTGCTGAATGGCTTGAATAAAGTAGTATTTCAGTAATCGGCTTTTCACAACTTCCTCGTTATAGCTTCAAATTTTGCTTTTTTGTTCGCATTTAGAAAGGATTCCTGAATGTTGTAGTAGCAGCAAGCCATTGAACATTGCCATGCTCAAAACTTTTGCTCTTTAGTGTTTTGGTTAAAGATTTCGCATGATTTCGCGGTTCTTAATGATTTGGATAAAAGATTGGTGAATGTTGAAAGTAGCGAATCCCATTAAACGCAATTCGGGTTTAGAATTCGCAAAATCGGCAGTAATAGAATCCCGAATGCACTTATCGTAGAGTTGTATTGAAAAGCTCTTCTCAACGCAAAATTGAGGCTACATCTTGAAAGACGAACCAAAAATCCTGCGGTAAGAAAGCTGAGCTTTTTTTTGAGAGCATTTTGTCGGGCGTCAAAAAATTATTCCTAGCAACATAATAGAAAAAAACAAGTGGCTTTTCCAAGAAATTTCTGCGATGAGCAGGAATTGACAAAACAAAAAATATGCAAAATTTATAGATCGTTAGAATACAAATGGAACTGAATAAAAACACAAGCACCTTTGTTACGTTTTATGCAGGGGTTTTATCTCTAGCTCAAGGCTTCATAATGGAAGGAGACCCCAAATCCAATTTTTATTGATGAATGATGTGATTTTGATCTTTGTAACGTATCACTTTTTTTCTGAGATATCAAGACCGTCTAGGAAAAAAAAACGAATTAATATCATTTCGGTGGATAATTGACCGGCCTTTTTTACTCTATCTTTAATCTGTATAATTTTTGTCTGCTGAGTTTTTTCTTCAATATCTTTCCATAGCAATCTTTGACGTTTTAACATTCATATTTATACCATTGCCAAAATCTCCACCAGTCTTTCATTGTTGTTTCAATGCTTCAGTTTCCATGGCTCTTTAAACCGTCTTATAAATTTTCTGTGTCTTGCTCATGTCTTTTTCCGCGTTTTCGTGTTCTTTTTCTAAACTTTGTCTTCTGTGCATCTTAACACTTTAGAACTTTATTTACTGCAGATGGACAGCCAGCAATGGATGGCATGTGTCATCCTGTCCTTAGCTATAATCGGCTGTTTTGGAAATGCTCTGTCTTTCATTCTGTTCAGTCGACCCCACATGCGATGTTCATCGGTAAGAGTTTTATTCATTTTAAGGACATTTAATTACAAAAATTCTATGCCCGGGTTTCTTGTGTGAACAGTGACGGAGACCCTTGATTGATCCATTGTTCAAGCAACATTTGATGAGAATCATTCGCTGCCAAGAATTTCCGCACTCAATTCTGGCCCAGATCGTATTGTCCTACCGTAATCGCAGACACTGATTGGTCCGTTCACTGAAGGCGTAGTCGGGCTCTGATTGGTCCGCTTAGAGGATTACGGTCTGCACTGAGGTTTAGAGTTCGTATAGGGGATCTAAAGCTGAGAATTCTTCAATAGAGCCAAATTCTATCTTTCGTTTTTTTAGGTTAATATATTATTGTGTGCCTTATCATTCATCGATTTTTCGCTTCTGCTGCTTTGTATACCTACTTTTGTTATACCAAACTTAGACCTTTGGTAAGTTTTATCTACCTTCTCATTTTTGCATTCTGCAAAATCGGCTCTACTTTAGGTCATCACTACAGTCACAAACGACATATCTCGCTTATGTCCTAAATATTTTCTACCCAGTAAATCTTACCATGCAAACTTGTAGTGTGTACACCATGGTTATGATCACCTTTGAACGATGGACAGCTGTTTGCCGACCATTGCAGGTGCATTTTGTGATCTCTGAACTCTCTATTTCTCTTTTTTGGCAAGTTTGAATAGCGGATTTTAGGTTCGAGTATGGTGTACCCCTAAGAAGTCGCGGATAGCAATCATTTGTATATTCATTTCTGCTGCTATGTACAATTTTGCCAGATTTTTTGAATATCGCCTAATGTGAGTTTTTTAGAAAATGTAATTCAACAAGAATTCATAATCTACAGCAGTTACAATCGTTTCATTCTGTTTTGTTTCTCTAAAGTCTGGAGTGGGTCTCGAAATTTTTGAAAGTGGTCTTCAGAAATTGCAAAATTTTGCAAGCGAATTGTTCTACTCATGATCTTGTGAATTTTGTGCTCCAAATCTGTAAAATTTTCGTGACGTAGACTACCAAAAAATTTCGATTTCTCTTTATGAAATCTCAAGTTTAAGCTTTCAAAATCCAAAAGCAAAATTTTTTTGAATCTGGCAAAAGCCACTTCTCTCTAAAAATTTTATGTCATAAGAAAATTTTTTGAAATCTTTTTGATGACTTAATCTTCTGTTCCTTTCCCTCTCCGAAATAAAAATTGATGTAAGATAGTAAAAAATTGCTTAAAATTTACCCACCTAGTTTGAACCAGACCACTCTCCAATACTATTTTCTTATTTATATATAATTTTCAGTCACACACCCGACGGTGCTATCTACGAAAAATGGCTCAGAGATCCCGAAAATTATCGGTGAGTTGGGTTCAGTTTGATCTTGGTGATTGTTTTTCCGTATTCTTACGGTTTGAAGTTTTTTTGCGCTTTTTCGAAACGAGATTTTGACCAAGAAACTCCGTTTCAATGCTAGTTGAAAATCTGTAGCGGAATGGGGTAAAAGTTTGACTTTTCAACAATAAACTTGCTTTAGAGTTTACTACGTTGGCTACTACACTATACTCTACCTATTGACTCACTTTCTTTTACCATTCACAACCATGGCGGTTCTAAACGGTTCAGTTATCCTAACGATGTGGAGAGGACGTCAAATGCGCCAAATGCTGACGAGACAGGTGATTTCACTTCCTGAAAAAAAAACCACCCGGCTCCGAAGAATACTCAGCCCCATGTGGTCCTGATTGCCCTTCTGCTTACGTCATTCGGTGTATTTTTAGCAGCAAAGAGAGCAGTCGACAACAGTGATGTTACTGATTGTAACTATTGTGTTTGCCGTCTGTAACACGCTACCCTTCCTGTTGAATGTGGTCGAAAGCGTCTTTCCGGATCTATTTGTGGATCCAGTGAGTTTTTATTTTCGAAGCGGAAATCACTGCACTTTTTGCAAATGTATGCAAATGAGGCTGGGCTGCAAAGAGAGTAAATAAAAACGGCTCTCAAAAGTAGCCTGAGACGTAAGAGGAATTCTCGGACTCAGTAAGAGTTTTTGGGTTAGAACGATGTGGAAGAGTAGAACCTCCTTTCTTTGACTCACCCTTTTTGGCTGTGTTCAGTGGTTCAAAGTCTGGAAAATCTTTTTAGGAAAAGCAATGTAATTCTAGCTTAAAAAGCGAAAAGATGACATCGCAAATCAAGGGTCTTAACATTTAAATGGGCTTGATTTGGATACAAGAAAGAGGAAAAGTTTTTTGATTTACATACAAGAGAGAAAGAATTTTCTTAACAGGGAGAAGAAAAAATTTTTTGTTTGATACAAAAAAGAAAAGTTTTCCAAGTTATGATGCTTATTTTAGTCATTGATTTGGGTTTTGGTCAATTGATTTTCGCATATTTGAATCGAACGAACAATATTATAAGACAAAAATTTTTTCTTACTGTTTTCAATTTTATTTTGTATTTTTTTTTTGCATGTCTTCAAGGAGTATAATCACTCTATATTTCATTTAGTACTGTGTTATGAACATTACCTCAAAATATAGAATTGCAGAGAACGTAAGGTGTTATTGAAGGCAGTGCCCCGGCAGATTTTGCATTTCCACCTTTCTGCATGTTTTGGACCTTTTCGACATGCAGACCCCGAATCTGAGCTCTGAAACGGGTGAAGAGACCTTTTTCGGGGCGTTTACCCAATCATGCACAATGCGGGAGAGCGGTCATGGGGTCCCGCGCCGAATGTTAAGCGAAGTCATGCGAGCGCGCACCGATTGGGGTTGCGCGCGCCGGTTCAAGGCTCTTTTCTCGGCTCGGAGAGAACATCAACCAGCCGGATTGCGCCTGGACGTCAGTTAGATGACCGGGAACTCCACATAGCAATATCCCCTAGGACGCGAATCTGCCGGAACACTGCCTTTAAGGTTTCGTTTTCCCCCTCCTCCCTGTCAAAAATATTCAGCCGCTGTTTTCTCAGCCGCAAGCCTTAACTGAGAAGTCAAGGAATGAAGGAGTAGTAATACAGATACATGGGCTTCACAGCGATTTTACTTCTCCCCTCCATTTTATCTTAATTTTTTATAGTTAGTTATATTTTCAGCGCACCAGCCACATTGCCTATACAATCAACGACCTCTCAAATCTGCTCGTAGTGCTTAATTCGGCCACTACATTCATTGTGTACTTTATGTTCTCGGAAAAATATCGGCAAACGTTACTCTTCATCATCAAGTAAGTCATGTTATTTTGCCATGCGGTACTAAAAACTTCAAATTTTTTAGGAATGGCTGTTGCGCTTCTATCTCGGACTATAACACATATACAGCAATGTCGAGAACAGCTTCGATGAGAGTTACCTCAGCTGGAGAATTACAAAGAACGGCGAGCAAGTTAAGCACCTGCAGGTCTTTATCTTTATTCTTATCAATTCGTTCTTGGCTGAATGTTTAACGATTTTAGCCGAAACTCGGAAGTTCTGTTAAAGCCCCTGCCAAAGCGGAACGAAAGGTTCTGCTCCGAATACAACAGTAGAACGGGTAAATATCATGACGAGTTTCGATTGCCTCGTTTACCCACCGAGAAGAGAAGAAAGAAGAATAAGTACGTGTTTTGTTTTTGTTTTTTGCCCTTCTTCGGCTATTTTTCAACTCATTTATTGATTTTTAGAAAATCCGTAGCCGACTCCCTCATTGCTCGTCCACCAGAAATTCGTGTAACATTCAGCGACGATATACCGCCACCCCCAAAAACTTCTTGAACTTTTCTCTACACTTAGAGAAATTCTCTTCCAAGCTTTACTTATGCTTACAGTGTATTGTTCACAATGTGCTAACAAACACGGGTATTTTCTATTCACTCATCATTGTCATAATGTCATTGACTCTTCTGAATCACTGCTAATTGTCGCGTTGGGTGATAGCTTTCAGGTTTTATGGTTGTGCTAATACATTTTTCACATTATAGTGCTATTGGTATTGCGAAATAAATGTACAGACTGTGCTTGTGGTCATTCGCTTAGCTAACAAGGGAAGGGTCAGAAGGTCGTGGCCAATCCAAACAGCTTGCATACCATTAGACGCGAAATAAAACGCTGACTCCGAATCTGTATTCCATATCTGCATAGCTCCTATGTGGGCGAAGTTTTAAGGCGTAAGTTGTTATTTTGCTAAGAACTCGTGCAAGCAAAGCGCAAATTTGCCAGTACAGAACCATGTTCGGCTTAATGCTGGCCAAACTACGCAGTTAGGTTACATTTATTCTCAAAGTCTGAAGGAGCTGGAAGTGTAACAGTATGCTCATTTTCGCACTTTTTATGTAAGATTTTTTCGCAGTAATACTGCTCATGACTTCATCCACAAAGGCGCTAAACAGATATGAATTACAAATTCAAAATCATCAGCGTTGAATACTGCATCGAACGGTAGGCAAAGTACGCAGTTGGATTGGCCACTTCGACTTCTACTATTTCCTTGTAAACAGACTGTGATGTGTAGAACTCGTGATAGAGTTAGTGTAATTGCTATAACGCGGCACATACCATCTGTGTCAGCTTCGCTTTGTGCTTCGCAAAAGGATGATATCGTTGAATCCGTCGATCCTTTTTGCTGGCGAATGCTGAACAATGCGGCACCGCACTAGGAACACGTGGAACGCTTTGAAGGCTTGGTTGGGACTTTTGAAAACATGTGAACATAGGTTTAACGCTATTGAGGTTCGCTTTTGATCTTCAGCAGATTTCACAGCACTTGTCAAAGTGCATCACTCGTCCGGCCAACCTACCTTTTCTATTTTGTTTGGCATATGTTAAGGTCGATGTAATTTGACCACTGGTGTTAAAGTGATTGCGTAGAGATAGATGCAGCCCAAGCTTTCGGTCTCGCTCACATGGGTCCTTTATAAAGTAGACAATTGTTCGGGGGCTCAGTTGTTGTCTCCCTTAACTACCAATAAAGACCCAGTAGATGCGATTGCGGATGAACCTCAAACCTAGGTATTCAAACTTCTTTTTAACAGTAATAATCATGACTTATAATAACGGGCTAAGGGTTGTTTACGTCTTTTTGTACGTGTGTGTGTGTGCGTCTGTCTGTCCGTTACGAAATTCGTAGAGCGTGTTCCAGCAAACGTTCTAAGCCCAAATTTTGCATAGCGCATGCTACCTTCATGGAAGCCCAATATGCAAAAGCACGAGTAGATTCGTTGAGTGGATCCCTCAGAAAATTGCGCGCCAAACGGGTCCACCTGGCTTCTGTACCGCAAAATTCGGTCCGTATCACCACTTTTTGCAGAGTCGTGGATGAGTTTGGTAAGCAAATGTGCAAGCGATGGAGTTTAGCCAGAAAAGTGATTGAAAGTTTACTACATAACGAAAACGGCGCCAAAACGAATTGGTTGTGTAAATGGTCAATTTGCCAAGGTTCTAGCTAAGCGTTTGAGAAGATTTTCGCACAGAGATGTAGCTCACGGTTATCATTACCTTCATGGGGATTACCAAGTAATGACAAATCCAAAAACCTATTCAAATTTGCGTTTGTTTTCCTGCGAAAAGTTTCATCCACGCGAAATCACCGATCTCACGTGAAAAGACTTTCTAAATGAGTGGTTGTTTGCATTTTATTCGTGGTAGTCGGCATAGCGCGGTGAGTTCCAGTGCCATGATTTTACGAGAATGAGTAAGGCACATAGATAGTAGAGCCAGTGCGAACCTTTGCGAAGCAGAGGTGACGCACTGGTATAATAATACCATGCGAATTGTTAGAACACTTCCTGCAGATACAATGAAATGGAAGTCAAAATAAAACTTTGATTCATTACAAGGAATAACTTCAAGTGCTATGGGAGGGTCTCAATAGATGTTTAGTTTGAAAATAAGATACAACAATGGCAATGCAAAATAGTAAGCTAAGCCTAAATATAAACACTCCGTCAAGGATATCATAACTACGGTCACTGCTCGGTTTTCGGGCTAAGTGCGACCCAGCATAGACATGCTAGTAAATGCAAAACATTTTGAATAAATAGCTTCAAAATATTTATCGCGTTATTTACTTACACTTCTACTGACTTGAAGGAGGACGAATCATAAAAGCAGCGTCCAGGCAAAACTTCGAATAAGATTTTTCTCGCTTATTTAGGCTAATCCTGTCCGCTGAAACCGAAGATGCCGCTTGGAAGGATGGATTTGTCAATTGATTTGAATTATGAGGCGTGCCGTTAAGGTTAGGACGCAGAGTCGTTATGGGATGACCCTACGCCAAAAAACCCAATTCCTGGGACCCTTTTAAAGGGCGCGAACGAATTTCGGATTGTTACCTCCGCTCGCCAGCGGGAAGGAGCTGCAACTGCGTGGGTGCAGTTGCACTCCATAATCGATCATGCTTGAGCACACGTCCTCAGGGAGGTTTGTGATACGAGGGGCGGTTTGTGATACGTATCACAGGCCCGTATCTCCTTTTAGAGGCCACGTCAAAGGATCGGAGCAACGCAGATCGCATACACATGGGGCCCGCTTTAAAACTACGGGCTAATCTGGGTGAGTGGATTTTGCATGGACGCTGTCTTTAACGATGGAATATGCTTAACTGCTTTATCCGCACTTAATTCAAAACTACCCACCTTTGCTAGGGACTCCCTACCCGTAAAATAGGCGGTAACGAAGTGACTTATTGTTGTTGACCAATGACCCTTACCAAGCAGCAACACCAGAATTGCTCAAAACATCGGATGCAGCTTTGGTTTCGAAGACAGGCCTCATACCATCCACTTGATCCATCTCATCCAGTTCATCCACTTCGCTATTGGTCTGTGAATTGAGCGAACATCCGCTTCGCTATTGGTCAGTTCACTGATTTGACTGATAGCAAAGTGGATCATGATCAAGCGTAAACCAGAGACCTTCTTACAGTAAACACATGCGTACCAAAGTCACGCTGAAAAACTCTGACGCAAAATTCGTTGTTATATCAAAAGTTTATCAGTTTGCCATTGTTAGAAAAGCCCATTCTTCCTCTTCTATTGGCGATCTTTGTTCGAAGAGAAAGGTCGTTGGTTGTAAGATGGCCAGTTAGAGAAGAGATCCAGCTCGCCTTTGACAATAAGGAAAGAAACAAAGCGACTTTGCTCGATAGAATGTTTAGACAACTCATCTTCGAAGCAAACTATATACTTTGCGAAAGCAGAAGGCAAGACAGTTACAACGACATTTTCTTCGTTGTATCATTTGTGTCAACGTAATCTTGAGACACATCGTAGAGGTGTGTAGAGCCACGCTCTGTGCTCTCGCAATACTTCAAGTTTGACACTTTTATGTTGTCCTTTTACAGAATTTTTTGAGCGCGTATCTTTTGTATGACTGTTCGTTCGAACCTATTCCGATTTTAGGAAAGAACTGGCGAAGGGTTTGTAGACTGCAGAAAAGCATAGGTGTTAAGTTGGCATTGTGAATGACCTTCTTCATTATACAACCCGGTTTTGGTTGCCTTCCATTAGCTTGACACCTTGTCTTTTGATCGAGCACGGTGTGATCAGCCCTGTTGTGCCTTGAAACAGTGTCCCGGCAAATTTCGCATTTCCGCCCTTCTGCATGTTTTGAGAACATCTAGAACTCTAATTGAGCTTTGAACCGGGTCGAAAAACCGCTTTGGGGCGTTTCCCCAATTTCCAAAAGGCAGCTCGGACGAGACTTTCAATAGGATTGGGAGGTCCTAGCACGAAAATCCTGCTACCTGCAAATTTTGCTTTGGTTAGCATGCACAATAAGGGAGCGATCGTGGGGTCCGAACATGTAAGCGAAGTCATCCGAGCCCGCGCCGTTTCGAGGGCTATTTTCTCGACGCAAGCGCAACAACAACCAGCCGGAGTGGGTTTGGAATTTAGTGAGGTGACCAGGAACCCCACACTACAGCTCTGTCGGGAAACTGCCTATAAGAGAAATTCGGATATGCAGTACATTAGCTTGACCAGGGATGTACCATACAATGACGGCTCACTAGCGAGTTTACGCAGACTCCGCTCATACAACCACAGAGAAGTGTGCGATTCTGCATCATGTTCAGAACAGCAAGCAGCGCATGCGGCTTTAGGTTTTAAAAGTGGCTTGCTTCACCATTCCCAACAAAGGAAGGCAATGCAGCTCAAAATTTCGGGCAAACACACAAGCACACAAGCAACCGAAGTCGAAGACGAGTTCTTAGATGCTTGCTGTTCATATCCGGCGGAGTTGAATGCATTCAAAAAATGTAAAGGCCAGAGACGAAATGAAGTTGTTTTAGTGATTATATTATAGCGCAACAACAGCAGGGAAGTATCTGCTCGAAACTGATTGTATAAAAGAGTTTACAGCTCCCAAAACTGCTTTGAGTGCACAAACGGCAGGTCACGAAATTTTCGCAGTGGTGAGGTTCATCAACTAGAATGTCGAACATTTTAACACATATGACAGCGTGACCCATTATGTGGATCATGCAACGACTGGCACATGGGACAATGTGACCTACATGGTGGGTCATAGCTAAATTTTGTTAAATAACTACAATTTTGAAGTACGTTCGTTTTACAGGTTCTTTTACGCTTTGGCACCAAAGGCTAATTCCGCGTTTCGTGTCTGCTTTTTAGCATTGCTGTAGGTATATTGTAGATGACGATCTGCGAGATTTCAGCTAGCAAATTTCGACTTTTACGTGAGAGACATTGTCCCACGAAGCAGACAGTTGGAAATCCGCGTAACGTGTAAGGTCAATTACATCGATGAGACCGATCAATCATCACTCTTTATGGTGTTCAAATGAACTCACTCTTTAGTGCGGTTGAATGAACATTTGATCGAAGAGGAACAGAGCTTGTGAGCCCCTGAGGGGGTCATAGAGAAATGGACCAGTAGGTAGTAGCGAAGCTTTCGAAATGGTTGCATAGCAGTTAAGGATAACAACACAGCTCGGAAATGGTTGCAGGCCGCATAAGCTTGTTGTTTGTACTCCGAAAAGGATCAGCAAGAATGAACTGGCATCACAATCGATAACAAGCCGCTCACCATAATCTCTTGGCTTACTCAAGCATGCCAAGTAAAGTACTGTTCATTTTGAGCTCTAGGTGACCGAAAAAGCCTAGAGTAACTGCTCCTCTTCAGACTCTTGGCTGAAATGGGTTTGAAAGCTGGACACTCAAGGTGGAAGAGGGTTCAGTGGCAAGAACCGTCTGATAAAAGCTCATCGCTGATGACTATACAGTATTACTTCTTCAGCCATCGTCGCCTTTCTCACCAGTGACCCCGTCGTGAAATATATCCACTGCACAGGTCACGCATCCGACTATGGATGCGTGACCTGTGCAGTGGATATATTTCACGACGGGGTGTCAGGTCAGGTCACGCACCGCAATTTTTTCTCTAGAACGTTACCAGATTTGAGGGAACTCAAGTGACGTAATTTGAGCTGTAGACGTTAGGCAATTTTTTGATGAGCTAGTTTCGAATGATCGCTGCTTGACTGTGCTTTTGCGCATTGGTCACGGTCGTACACGTTCGATGGAAGGAACGCGTCATATGCTGGCAGGAAAGGATACTTGGCGACCGCGACCATATGTAAGGGAATGTGAATCAGTAGACGCTTCTCAGAATGATGTTATGAGATCCGCATCCCTTCTCACGAAACTCATCCATGAACAAAGTTATGAGACTTTTTTCAAAAATGATTTGCGCTCTTGAAAGGCCAGCGTAATCGATACGAGATTTTCTTGCCCTTTCATATGTCAAACGAATTATTCACTTACCATGCTCTAATGATGTTAATCAGCATAAACAGCGAACAGTCCAATAATTGACTTTGAATAGCTAGAATTATGCGAATTCTCCAAAGTAAACGTTCATAATTCCTCTAAAAAAGCTCTGGCAGATATTAAGCGCAGACCGGGATTGAGCACAGATCGTCATCATGAGACAAGAGTTGTTCCGCATAAGCCAAGATGTGTACAAAAGTTGACACAGGCAACGCGTCAACAGCCAACGGTCCACACAACGGTGCAAGTCTATCAGTGCAAGCAACTGTAGAATATTCTCTACCAATTCAATAACTTTTCAACGACTAAACCTAAATCCACAATCTTGTTCTCTAAAATATTAGAAGGCCTGCGCTCCATGATGGATGTTTAAGCGCAAGATTTCATGAGCTAGCCCCCGAGAACGAAGCTCTCAAATATGGGACTTCAAAAATTGCAATTTTGAGTTTGGTACCAGAAAATCGCAGAGTGCCGCTAGCTAGCTGAAAAAAATCTGTAAAAATTACTTACACTGCAGAAGTCCATAAGTTACTTTGGAAGGCTTTGATCCTGCACGGTGAAGCAAAAACAAAAAATTCGTGAACTAGTCATTTTGCGGAAAAAATCCACTCATTACCGCAGTTTTTCGACAAAAACAATTTTTTACACTCCAAAAAACGTCGCAAGGTTCTAAATGGGCAATATGTCTTATTTCTGGTTGCAAACTGTGTTTTTGTGGAAAAATTACATCGATAAGGGGATTTATCCTGTAAAATGACAATTTCCACAAATTTTTTGTTTTCGCATTTCCATGCGAGATTAAAGCCTGCTAAAATAACGTATGGACTTCTGCAGTGTAAGTAATTTTTACAGATTTTTTTTCGGCTAGCTAGCGCACTCTGCGATTTTCTGGCACCAAACTCAAAATTGCAAATTTTGAAGTCCCATATTTGAGAGCTCCGTTCTCGGGGCTAGCTCATGAAATCTTGCGCTTAAACATCCATCATGGAGCGCAGGCCTTCTAATTATTTTAAAGAACAAGATTGTGAATTTATGTTTAGTCGTTGAAAAGTTATTGAATTTTGTTTGAATTACGCAAGAACTTTCTAGCCAACCTAATATAAAGAGCATAAATAAATATAAAAGAACAACAATTAAGATGAAATACCAACGTTTCTTCGAACTCCATGTGACCCAGCGTAACTAAAGCCATGTCTTGTTCGGCTGGTTTCATTCGGCCCGACGTTCCCAAAAACTTTTTCCAAGACCACTTCTGCACCGCGTTCCGTCCTGTAGAAGATACATGTTTCGAGCAGCGACGCACCAAGTCGAGATCTTGAGAGACGTCATGTACTTGCTGTATGTATACAAACTGCTTTTAAGTTCATCCGAAACGACGGACCTATTACATTGGGGTAAGAAAAACGCAAAAGCTTGATAAAATAGTTCTCCTTCGTTTTCAAAGAGATCAACAATGATCGGAACGTCTTTGTGAGATGTTTGTGCTACGTGAGATATCACAATCTGTCCGAATCAAGATCAGGTTGGAAAGTTGCGTGAAATCGCTCGCAGCGCTAAGAGCTTGCGCTGCATGTGCACACTATCGGACATAGCGAAAAAAATCAAAGATGACGCTCTTTACCTGAATACTTCTGCGTACGATAGGCGAAGGCGGACAGCAAATGGGAGGGATAGAGGAGACCAATGTTGTCTCTGCATGTTATTGTTAGTAAAGAGAGACTTTATAGCATCTGACAGAGGAAGGATCCTTAATCGAAGCGGCCTTTTTATTGAGAACGCGTATCATTTTATGAACATTAAAGGCAATTTCAAATCTGTCTCCTTATCTGCGGAGCGCTTTGGACAAGGGGTTACAAGAGCTATTGAAAATTTGAACGCGCAGTTAGAAGATAATCATTCATAAAAGTCTCTCTTAAGCTCAAATGGAGAATTGGTAACTGCTAAACCTTTCTGTGAAGAGAAAATGTCTGCTTGCTACTATAGTACTTGACATCGTCTTATTTGCGAATTGGTGAGGCTGTCACCATTGATTGTATATTCTGATCAGTCGCTTATTTTTTTGACCCATAAAGCGTTCGTAACTCCTCACCCAGAAGAGTTACGAACGCTTTATGGGCCAAAATCCGCCGATAGAAGACAGATTTGAACTCCGCGTTGAAAGAATGCCCTTTGAGACTGTATGCATCTCAAATAAAAAGGCAATTTCGACTAACCTTTCTTGGTGAGTGAACTAATTAGACTTCTTTTGAAAAAATCTCGGACTAACATCCCGTACTTGTTTTTCAGCAATATATCTTATCATGTTTGATTTTTGATCCTATAGCTTGTGCGTGATGATCATTCAAATGATTGGTTGCCTTATAATCTGGTCAGCTGTTTCAGACCCTCCTTTGATACCAATAATCATCTGTTACAGGAACACGCTTACTGCTGTTTCACTTGTAGCACTCTTCCTTGATACTGGATTATGCGCTAAACTAATTGCACTTACTCCACTGACTTTGACTATCTCGTTTCATGTATTCAAAAATTCGAACGTTAAAGAGTCGAATGTAGGTTGCTTCTTCTGTTACACGATACTTTTTTGTGCATTTAGAAAAAAACGTTTTTTGCTAATTTCAAACTAGGTGGACATCGAGGATCGCCTTTAGAAGCACCAGAAAACTCTGTAGAAAGCTTTAAAAAAGTAATGTTCAGTCCAAAAGATTGGCATGTCAGTCAAGCTCACTTGCAGGCAAAAGAGGCCGGTTGCGAAGTGGTTGAGTTCGATATTCATTTATCGTCCGACGGCATCCCAGTGCTCATTCATGACGACACTACTCAACGTACATCTCGAGAAAATGTTACTATCGCTGAAACAACATTTGATGAGATCAAGCATATCCCGCTTAATGAAGTCAAGTTAGTGGACTCCTTTACACAAAGTTACAGTAAACTTTATACTTTGAAGTTTGTTTTGTAAAATGCAATTGGCAAGGGAAATCCTTCTAGTCCAAATGGTATCTACAAAAATGAGCTTCCACTGCTTTGAAGAGAACCAACGCTGACTTCGAGCCCGTTTTCATTATCTGCCAAGCGCTTCTTCTGGACATTGAGTTATGAGTATTTTAGAGGGAAAATGAGCGCAAAATCTAGGTGTAATTGGTTATAACTGTCTTTTCAACGTTCACATAAGCAGTTTTAAGTACGAATGCATAGAAAGAATGGACAGAAAAGGTTGGCGTACGTCAGCTACCCAGCGGAGAGCGTATAATTGGGTTCAATTTGCATTACAGAAAGCTAGATATGCTTTTTGCAAACTTTCAATTCATTTATCTGCCGAACTACAGGATGGCCAGGCCTTTTACAAGGGGAAATTATTTTTAGTAAAAGTAAGTAGAGGAAATTATATCTAGCGAAAACGCATCCTCCTTTTCTAAAAAAAAATCGATTCTATTAGGTTGTAACAAAATTAATGCAAGTTTTGAATTCCAACCGCAATAAGTCACACACTTCTTATTTCTAAGTAGGTAGCAAAACACTCTTGGATAGAGCAAAGCAAGTTCTACAAGATGGCCATTTTGCTTTTGCAACAGGTCTCATTTCCCTCGCGTTTTGAGCCAAAAACTAAAAAGACTCAGCAGCCGGAAAAATCGAAAAAAATCGTAACTCAGTTTATAAGAATCTTACAAAAATTCTTACTTGCTCACGTAAACACTATCCAGCAAAACATCCATATACGCCTTCGCCGGTTTTTTCCTCTGTTAGAAATCAAGAAAACAGAAATTTTCGTGCATTTGCCAAAGTGGTGTTATGCAGTTCTCACATAGGTAGTTGTATACTACAAACCTGTAGAAGTACAAACGTAAATTCTCAGCTTTCTACAAGCTTTAGTTCTCGAGATATTTGAATTTTAGTTTGGGCCACTTAACTAGGGAAAGCTATATACGGTATTTCTCGAGAACTAAAGCTTGTAGAGAGCTGAAAATTCAAATCTGTACTTCCACAGGCTTGTGATACACAACTACTTATGTGGGAACGGCACAGCATCACTTTGGCAAACGCACGAAAATTTCCGTTTTTTTGATTTCTAACAGAGAAAAAATACAGCAAAGGCGTGTATGGATGCTTTACGTGAATAGTGTTTACGTGAGCAAGTTAGAATTTTTGTAGGTTTTTTATGAACGGAGTTATGATTTTTCTCAATTTTTCGGACAGTTGAATCTTTTTAGTTTTTGGCTCAAAACCTGTGGTGAATCAGAGCTGTTGCTAAAGCAAGATTGCCACCTTGTAGAGATTGCTTTGCTCTATCGAACGGTATTTTGCAGCGTACTTATAAGTGAGAAGTGTATGACTTATTGCGGTTGGAATTCAAAACCTGCATTAATTTTGTTACAACCTAGTATAATTGTATTCTTCTTCTTCTTCTTCTTTATCTTCGCCATTGTCCCGCGGGTGCAGGGTCGGCGGTGGTGCATTTTTGCTTCCATTTGACTCGATCAGCTGCTTCTTGTGGTTTGAGCTTTGCAATATGCAGGTCGTTTCGAATGGTGTCCAACCAGCGTTGCTTCGGATGGCCACGTGGTCTCTTCCCCTGTGGATCTAGACGAAGTACTGTTTTTGCTACTGTATTATCTTCACTTCGTAAAACGTGACCATACCATCGTAATCTGGCACCTCACATCTTATCCGCGATAGGTGCAACTCCGAAAATGTGTCGTACATCATCGTTCGTGACGCAGTTTCTTCTCGTTAGGCCAAGTATTCATCTTATCATTCGCGTATCCATCGTGCTCAGGATCTGCTCGTGTTTCCTGGTTGCTGGCCAACATTCGGCTCCATACAGGGCGACTGGCCTTACCACAGTCCGATACATTTTCGACTTGAGATACAACGGAATTTGTCGGTCGCAGAGTATTACTTGCCACCATTTTAGCCACGCCGCGTTCGTCCTAGCACGAGCATCAGTGATCGTGTCGCAATCCGACGTCACTCGGGAGCCCAGGTATTTGAATATCGTGTCCTTCTTCAGCGGCTGCCCATCGATGCTAATTGTGCCATCGGCTTGCTCTCCGCATTCCAGGTACTCGGTCTTTGCTACGTTCAGTTGTAGGCAGGGTTGAGCAAGAGGTCAGGCACAAATCCTTCAGAAACGACCCCCCCCCCCCTTGTGAAAGCCCCTAAACGACCCTCCGCTTCACCTCCAAGTCCTCAGGGTGTTATATACTGAAGAAGACCAGCCTTCTTTGCAGGTTTCTATTTTTTGAAAGTCTGTAGGCCCAACTTTCTGCTATTGCACAACTACACGCAACTTGACGGCGAGTTTTAGATCTGGATAGTCCTCTTTTCAGAGCTATAATCTTCACAGGGGTGGAGTGTTTGGCTTCAAATTTTCAATATAGCAAGAAGAGACTTTGCGCACAATACTCATATCAAAAAAGGGGCGATTTTTGAATGTTGAAGGCAAGTTGGAAGGGTCAGGCGCAACCCCTCAAAAGCTCAGGCGGCCTGACCTTTTGAGGGGTTGCGCCTGACCCCATTAACTTTATTTCCGAAAAAGCTTTTCTATCCAAGTTTTATGTGATTCGCTAGCTCAATTCTCGAAGATTCCACAGTAAGTGTTTGAGCTTGATTCGACTTGTTTCGGCCTTGTGCTAAGCCGAAAAGTTGAAGCACTCAACGTGAAAGACGCGCCGGTTGGAATTTTGGCAGCACTTCTTACTTCACTGTTTGAAAGCGATATGAAGTCCGATTTGTAGCATAGACTTGTAGAGAACATTACTTTGTTATGAGTATTCAAAAGCTGACTTTTCTCACTTCTGAAACCAAGTTGATCACATTTGAAATTCACGCTTTTTAGGCGTTGAGAAACATTAGAAACTGCAGTAGGTAATGGTTTGTAGAGTGCATAGAGGTAGTTTGACATGCTGATTATGGAAATGATACCCAAATCAGACAGCAAGCTTCCTTGTTTACCTCATATGTCAAGGTATAAGAGAAGAAGATTTGGATTTTGGCTGAATCTTTTATTGTGGAAACAATCAGTATGCTGTTTATGACCGTCATTCCTTCATGTGACCGCGATATCCACCGGACTAGCGCATTCTTCACCTTTACAGTATCTCCCCAACTCAATAAATTCGATTCTTAATTACGACCCCCCCCCCCCTCAGTCTTACTCTCAATACGATCCCCCAGGTCGGGCGCGCCTGACCCCACGCTCAACCCTGGTTGTAGGCCATATTCCGCTAATCGTGTCTTCCATCTCACAGTCGCCTCTTCAAGCTCTTGTCTCGATCCGCTTGCTAGCTCGACATCGTCTGCGTAAAGGAGCGTCCACGGATGCGGCAGCTGAATGTCCTTGGCCACCGTGTCCATGCACAGTATAAAGAGAAGCGGTGATAGAGCCGATTTTTGATGTACTCCGACTTGGATTAAGAATGGCGTTGACGTTCCCACTGCACAGCGTATGGCGCCCGTCGTGTTCGTATAGAGGAGTTTGATCCAGCGGACGTACTCTTCTGGGACGTCATGTTGTCTCAGCGCATACCAGATCAGCCCGTGTGGTATCCGATCAAATGCCTTTTCTAAATCCAGGAATGCGAAATGAATCGGAATCCGTTTCTCAATGCCTTTCCATTAGCAATCGTACTGCGTGGATGGCGTTGATGGTGCCAGATCCTTTTACAAAGCCGCACTGATTCGGGGTGACCTCCACTATACTTCGAATGCGTGCGTCGATGACTCGTTCGAAGATCTTCATCGTGTGGCATAGCAAGCGTATTGGTCGATATGTTGAGCAGTCGCTGACGTCGCCCTTTTCCTTCCAGATAGGGACTGTAACACTCGTAGTCCAGATTCGCGGCAACTGTCCTCGACGATAATGCGGTTAAAGAGCGATGTGAGATATGTCGCTCCACGCTGCCCCATCATCTTCCACACTTCAGCAGGTATGTCGTCGGGTCCCGGAGCTTTTCCGCTAGACATCTTCCTCAGTGCCTGCACAACTTCTGCCTCCTCGATCCGAGATACCGGTTCAAATGTGGGGGCTCCTTGCGGTACTAACGGGTGCGGGAACTCCTCATTAAATAGACCTTTGTAGTATTCACTCCACCGCTTGAGTATTGCCCTCGTCTTCGTCAAAAAGTTGCCCTCTGCGTCCTTAATGTGCATGACGTGGTCGATGTCCTGCTTCGCTCGATGTCGCGCAGAGGCCAGTCGGTAGATCTTGTTAGCTCCAGCAGGTCCTTCCAGTTCGTCGTAAAGTCTCTTGTAGTGTGCTTCCTTTGCTTCGGTTACCGCGTGCTTCGTCTTCGAGTTCTGTTCTCGATATCGACGGAGGTCCTCATTTGAGTGTGAGCGCTGCCAGGCTTTGAAGGCTTCTTTCTTCTCCTTGATCACTTGCTGGACTGACTCAGACCACCACCAGATCTGCTTGTCTACAAACCGGCGTCCTAGCTTGGTGGTTCTCAAGATTGTCTCGGCCCTCGATCGTATCTGCGAAGTAATCCGATTCCACTGCTCTTCAATCGACTCCTTATCATCCGTCGACACCCTCAAATCGTTAAAAGCATCTCTGACTTGCTGGCGATGTTCGGGAAGCTTCCACCATTTGATCCTCTTTGTGGTCGTCCTTCTGGCTCGTGAATGTAAGTGGATGTTCAGTCGAAGATCCAACACGAGCAACCGGTGTTGTGGCGCAAATGCATGTGTCGTCGTGGGTATAACCTTCGCATTCATCACCGTCGGCAAATGGCATCGGCGCAGCATCCAGTAGTCGATCTGAGTTGAGCGGTCTCCACTCGCGTACGTGACAAATGCGACTTCCGTTCTTGAAAAATGTGTTCGCTATAGCCAAGTCGTGTTGTTCTGCGGCTTCCAGGATGCGTTCTTCATCTTCATTCCTCTGACCGTATCCATTTCCACCATGGTATCGCTTGAATCCATCGTGTTCGTGGCCAACGTGCCCATTAAGATCGCCTCTTACGAAGATGTAGTCTGCGGCGTCAAATGTCCTTAGCAGGATGTCGAAGTCCCTCCAAAACACGTCCTTCTCGGCTTCGGTACATGCGGATTGCGGGGCATAACACGAGACTATTCGAAGCGTGGCATCATCTGCTTCGATCTTCATCGCCATCAATCTATCTTAAATGCGCGTCACTTCGGTCACTAATTTACGGTATCTACCGCTGACGATGATCGCGACTCCATTCTGGCGGCTGCTATCGCCCGTGTAGTATAAACGATATCCCTCGCCGATGTCCTTAGCCTGCCTCCCTTTCCATTTCGTTTCCTGTACACATGCGATGTCGATGTGTCGCTCCTTCAGACTATCACATAGCTCCCGGCTGCGGCTCGTCAGCGTTCCTATATTAATCGTCGCTAGTCGGATTTCCTGGACTCGCTTCTTTCGCCTGCCTCGTCCGGGGGCAGGTAGCCCTAGCTCACTATTCGCGCCATGCGGGCATTGACGTGCGTCGCCTCCGGGGGACGCCCTAGCAGCTTGACGAAAATCCTTAATAGTCCGATGCATGTGACACGACTGATTCGTACAGTCCCCGGCGCATCGCTCCGCCTGACGGGATAGTGCCCTCGTCGTTTGCCGAGGTTGATCCCGTTGCCAACCGGCACCGCGGGGAGGTGACGATGGGACTTTGCCGGCCTATAATTCTGTATTGCATTGCCGGCCTATAATTAATGTATTCTATTTTTCTACAAATATAGAAAAATCAGGTTCTATAGATTCTAGTGGAATATTTGCATACAGTTGATGTTTAGGTTGGTTCTTCTAATCGTTCTATGCGTTCTACCATTGATTCTTGCCAGCTCTGTTGTTAACGTTGGCTACAAAGGTTCATCGAGTCATTGTTTCTCGACCTGCTCTGATCAAAATTCTCAATCACCGCATTTATTTCGTTCTGAGATCACCGAATGACTTTCAATGTTTTTCTACTTTTCTCTCGCTGATGTCATACTAACTTCATTAATGTTGTTATGTTGGTATTTACTAACAAAGTGGCGCGCCATGAGCCTATTAGGTTAAATAAAATAAGATAAAACTCGGTTTTCAGAAAAGCTTGGGAGATAGTACAGATAGATTTGAGACCATCGTTCGTTGCCTTTCAAAATGGCAGCATTTGACAGAAGAGCCACTTCAGGTACTTCAGGAAGGCATGCTTGAGGCATTAAACGTCATTTGCAGCTTTCGAAATTGTGCTTATGCTCAGAAAAGCTGTTCGCATTTTGAGGATTTGACATATCACGGAGTGAATATTTTCTCTCAAAAAATAGTCACCCAATAGGAAATTTACCTTAATTTCGCGAGTACAAAATGCACCCGTTTTTTTTTCAAATTAACTAGTCTGAACGCACTAATTTTGAGACCAAGGCGCTCTACCGGGCTGCTCCTTACGCAAAGAAAATTTTGGAATGGCGACTACAGGGTGTCACAAAAAAATGTTTCGAACGTTTGATCGTTAATATCTCTCTTCCCAAGAAGTCTTTTGCCTCGCTTCAGGTACCGTTTTGTAGAGCTGGCTTCAACTTAGATTTGCATTATAAAACGAATTATCATCTCTTCATTACTGTAGGATTACGGTGAAACTTGAAACATATGGTGTCAATATGGAAAAGCTGCCTTTTCAAAAATTTTCAAAATAATGTGAAAACATGTGTAATAGGGTTTTTATGGACGCTGAGTTTAGCTAAACTATTCACAAGATTACGAAGCTTTCTAAACGGTTTAATCACACTTTTTAAGAACATTGAAAAAATGGCCGCTACCTCTTACCTGGCATAACTCTTCAATGAAGCATCATAACAAGTTGGGAACCTTTACAGTTATAATCAGCAACTCTAATTAGCCTAGGTAAAAGTTTTCAGGCTGTTTTGTTTCTTTTTTGAGGCAAAATATGGCCTTTCATAGCTCAAAACCCTCTTTGAAGTTTCTACCGTAATCCTACAGTAATGAAGAGAGATGAGTGATTCGTTTTATAATGCAAATCTAAGTTGAAGCCAGCTCTACAAAACGGTATCTGAAGCAAGGCAAAAGACTTTTTGGGAAGAGAGATATTAACGATCAAACGTTCGAAACATTTTTTTGGGACACCCTGTACTATGCGATGCAGAGTGTTGCGGCCGCTACTTATTCGCAAATTGAAAGAGGTGTTTTTGTACTCGTAAAATCATGGTACCTAGTTCGTTTCTGGGTAGCAGGTTTGAATGCATCACTGTCAAAAATTGTGCGACAGTTTTCTATAACGAATATAGAACTTTCGGTCGTGACAGTCGTGTCTGCTACGGCTAACTCGAGTCTAAATGTCTTGAAGCCTTGAATCGCTCCAACAAGTAGAATCATCATGGCCTTTTCAAAATACTTCAACCGTTAAGAGCTATTGATGAATTGGTTGAGATATAGGAGATGTGATAAAATCAAGTTGCTGCACTGCATGAGTGATTGCAGCAGCCGAAACAACTGTCAGGATAGGCAAAGCTTTATCCAGCTAATTCTTACATTATAATTCAAGAAATTTTCTTTTTCCAGGGGAATATCCGCCGGTATACCAACGTTAGAAGAAACGGTGGACTGGTGTCAGCAAAACAAGATGAGGATGATTTTCGATGTAAAATGCGCAGAGAAAAGGGTAAGTTCGAAGACAAGCAGTATTTAACGCATCTCAAATCAGTACCTTTTTGAGATACGACATGCTCATTACGTTTAATTACTCCTATCCTTTGCAAATGGGAAAAATTTTTTATATCAAAAGCTGAGAGCACGATAGCCTGGTCGAAAGTAGATGTGGACTGATTTTGAGAAGATAAAAAACATGCATAAGATAAACTCTAGGCAAAACATATCAATACGTAATGTCAACAAATCCGCTCTGGCACGGCTTTCAAAAAACGGCACTTGCAGCTTTGGTAACCTTCAAACGTTTGCGACTGGCTTGGCGGCTGAAAGGCAGGGTTTTGTTTGTGATCCAATCTTCTAGCCCCCAAGCCTGAATCAAAGAGTAACATAGCCGACATATGCCAAATCTTAAGACGCACTCAGCCCTCCGACAAACAAATGAAAATGGTTTATGTAATTATCGAAGTTCAGGACAGACAGCAATAGTTTCGGCACTTTCATGAAGCTTACGATAGTTCCATATAACTCATGCACCTTGTAGGCAGTGCCACCCAGGTTCTCGACTTCCAGGTTTTGATCGTTGGTCCTTCTCATGTCCCTGATTCCGAAAATGAAGTCGAGAATCCACGAAAACCCCGACAATACCGGTTTGGGAGACCCCACAGGCTGGCTTTTGCGCAACAGCGACTGGATTTTGGCAACAGCGACTGGATGGACGCGCAATGATGGGCAGGCATGGAGGGGAGGGCGGTGCCGTCTGAAGTTCCTCAGCAACGATTTTCTCGCTTTCGAAACGACTGCGCAGCGATTTGGGCGTTAACTTGATAGGGCATATGCTGCCAAAAGCTCAGCTTTTCGATCGGACTTGAACTGTTGCATCAGTCAGGAACCGTGTTCCCGCACTGCATCAAAATCCCCCCCCCCCCCTTGTTGACCTATGCAGTGCCTTTGAGTGCCAGGCGATTAGAGTCTAGCATGCTCAACTGCTAAACAGAGAGTAGACAACAATCATCATGACTTATTCACAGGCTAAGGGTTGTTTACGTGACTTTGTGTGTGTGTGTGTGCGTCTGTTACGAAATTCGTGGAGCGTGTTCCAGCCAGCGTTCTAAGCCCAAATTTTGTATAGCGCATGCTACCTTCATGAAAGTCCAACATGCAAAAGCACGAGTAGATTCGTTGAGTGGATCCCTCAGAAATTGCGCGCCACATCCACCTGGCTTCTGTACCGCAAAATTGGGTCCCTATCAGCACTTTTTGCAAAGTCGTTGAGGTGTTTGAAAACTAAGTGTGCAAGCCTTGGACTCCAGCCCAAATAAAGGGCAAAAATCTACTACTTTGCGAAAATGACGCCAAAATGGATTGGTTGCGTAAATGGTCAATTTGCCTAGGTTCTAGCTAAGCGTTTGAGAAGATTTTCGCACAGAGATGTAGCTCACGGTCATCATTACCTTTATGGCGACTAACAAGTCATGACAAATCCAAAAACCTATTCAAATTTGCGTTTGTCTTCCTGCGAAAAGTTTCATTCACGCGAAATCATCGATCTCACGTGAAAAGACTTTCTAAATGAGTGGTTGTTTACATTTTATTCGTGGTAGTCGGCATAGCGCGGTGAGTTCTGGTGCCACGATTTTACGAGAATGAGTAAGGCACATAGATAGTAGAGCCAGTGCGAACCTCTGCGAAGCAGAGGTGACGCACTGGTAGCTGATAAAGCCACACTGTAAACGGTAATGAGTAACAAGAGACAACTAAGTGATGGTGAGCAAACGTCATTTATAGCTCTACTGCGTCCTTGACTGCAGATCCTGCGACGGCCTAGTGTAACATTGTCGCATACTCAAAGGCAGTGCCAAACTGTCGAACACCTCACTTTACCTTTCTGCACATTTTAGCCTCTTCATTGCGTAGAATCAGTTTGAAGTCCAAAGCAGGTAAAAAAACCTTCATCAGGGCTTTTGTCCCCTTTCCGAAATAACGCGTGGCCGAGAGTTTGAAAGTAAAGCCGAAAGTATTGGCACAAGAACCCTGTTGCCTTGAATGTTCGCAATGAATAGCATGCGCAATGTGGGCGATCGCGGATGGTTGCGCGCTCAACAGATGATCGAAGCCATCCGAGCGCGCGCCGATTGGAGTCTATTTTCTAGGTGCAGGGGTAACATCATCCAGGCGGGTTGGCCTGGACGTTAGGGGGGGGGGGGGAGGGTGACCAAAAATCTCTTCGATGTCCCACCGAGTTGTCGGCATTGCCTTCTACGCTCTCAAATAGCGCTGTCGCGTCTACCAATGGGATGAATGCTAGCGATTGGGGTCTTGGAATATCTAGTTTCGTCTCGATTTTGCTCAAGAAATTGCATAGGTGGAAACAGATGTGGGTTGGATATACATCTAGCAATTCAAAAATATACCAGAAAGGTGCTTACTTTACCAAACAGTGTACTCAAACTACAATTGGTTATTTTTGCTTTAGATGATAGAAGCACTAACACATTTGATCAAGACAAAGAACCTTTATGACAGTGTCATAATATCAAGTTTTGATGCCATGGTGCCGTATCTGATCAAAAGGATAGACAGCAAAATTCTCACAGGTAAATATGATAAGTTCATCAACTTTTACCAGCAGTCACTATTGCAGGATTTACAAGCCGTGTGGATAATTATGTTTATTATGATGATGACAGAACTATGACGTATACTTCTACCACTGAATATTACTTGTACAGCATACTGGACGATTTAATTGAATTAGGTCTGCTAACAGGTTTTTCAAAAAAGTTTATTTCGCGACAGTTTCTAGGAATCAGATTGTTTGTTCTCCCAGTGTTTCTAGGAGTAGATATGCTTCTCCTACACTACAAGAATATAAATGGGTATGATTGAAAGAGAGCAACTGAGGAGATATCGTTACATTCATAATTTCAGATATTTGGTTGACGATTCTCTTTCCTTTGGCATTCATGTAGTTGCCTGGACGGTAAATGACCAAGAAACAGCTAATTTTTTACGTTCCATGAAAGTATGATGTAAATTTTGAGTCGCTTTGCTTATTGCTTCGAATTCAGGTCCCGATTTTGAGTGACCAGCCTCAAAATTTAAACGATAACAAGCAAACAACACAAGTTTAAGGAATAATTCTATAAATAATTAATAAATATTGCCATACAATCACCTTTCTTTCTGCTTTCTAAATCAAGATTATAGCATTTTGAATGTTTTTAACACATTCACGACAAGGCCAATTTTTCGATTATTGCCGTTTCAGACCAAAGCCTTTTTCGCTTTGTCGAATTTACGATTCACCGTGGGTCGTTGTCCAAAATGGTAGTCCTTTCCGAGAATGCCACCAAACGGCTCATCGAAGGCGTTGTTTATCAAATTATGATGTTTCAATTTTTGGCGTTGTACGGTAGGGTTACGGTAGTCATTTAGTACAAACCCAACGTCACGTATTTTCATAAAAATGTGTTTTGGGGTTGTTTCACCTGCTGATCACAATTACAGTGTCCAATACATTCACAACTGTCCCACAGTAGGGTTACGGTAGCAGTATGGCAAAATTTTCCAAAAATCAAGAAATTGGTATAAGAAGGCGATATTAAAACTTGAGACTATCATTTTCGTAATCAGCTTGCTAAAAAACCTATATATGTGAGATTTGAGCTTTCCAGGGTGAACATTGCAAAAAATCAATAAAATCAATAAAATCGAAGATTTCGATGGGCTAACAAGAATCTTTTGCTAGCCACGAATTACTCGTGCGTGTACGCTTAAATTCTCAGAAACAGCATCATTCCGCGAAGGATATGAGCTAAAGTGTGGTTTATCTCTATCTACAATATATCCACCGTGGCATTACATTACAGTATCCCGATCCCGGACCACTCTTAATGGAACTTTATTTAGGTGTCCCCAATCATGTGCCAAAATCCCGTAGACTTCCATCGTAAACTGACAAAAATAGAGCTTTAAGATGTCGTATTGTCGTGAATGTGTTAAAGTTAGGCTGTTTTGGAAGTTTCTTCCATTTGCTCGGTCACCAAAACTCATGCAACATTTGCCGACAAGGTGCCTATGTATCATCCGACTGAGCTTTACCCTTTTTTGTATTTTTTGTGATCCAGCAGTTTCTGCGATTGAACGGTATGACAAAAAACATTCAAATTTCCCTTATTTTCAAAAATTCCATGTTAGTTCTAAAAACATAAAAACACTGATAGGTATGATCGTCTCCACGTTTCGTGTAGAGGTGTATTGCAGACTTTGCCTGATAACACAGGTAAATTTGTTAAACTTCCTCCTCATAGCATTGTTTTTTGTACTCTTTCGCTGTCAAAAACCGCCACGCTTTGAACTGGCAAAACCCCGCCTCTACACGAATCGTGGAGCCGATGATAGATAGTACATATAGGCGATTCCGCCCATAGCGGGCGTGGCCCTGCAGACAATTTGGACACGTTGAAAAACTTGTTAAACCTCCATTTAAAACATTGATTTTTGTACTATAAGTTATCAAACCTGCCACGTTGGCAGTTGGCATACGTTGGCAAACGTTTGCAAAGTTACGCCCGCTTTACTTTGGGGAATGGACGATACATTTGAAATAAACCTATTTTTTCATTCTAAGCCGGATAAATACTAGTGAAAGGAAAATTAAAATTTCGAATATGTACAGCGCACTCATTTCAAGAGACCAAATACCTCATTTCCGAAACGAATCAATTTTGGTCCACACAAGTATTGACGAGTAACAAACAAGCTTGAAGTCTCAAAACTCCTAAAGCTTCCTTGCTGCAGTAATTTGTTATACCAAAAACTCGAAAATTCCAGGGAAATCATTAGTTTTACTCCAAATAGCAGCTTGGGAGAATTTAACAGTACCATCTACAGGCAAAAATTTGCTCTGTTTACCTTACTAGCTGTGGTCCCCGGTCCCGCCCGGGCCGAGAGTCCAGAATGGCCCAGCATAGGGTGTGCTTCAAGATCTATACTACCAGTCCTCCACTTTCTTCAGTTCACATCTTCTGTGACCCTGCTTCACCTCCTTGTCAGTTTCAGCGCTCGTGTAGTATCCGTGGTGAATAGTCTTCTTTCTTGACCGGCTCGCTTAACGGATCCGCTCATGCTTTTGTATAGTGAGCTTCCATGCTGGTAGCGTGGCTATGCAAAATTTGGGCTCAGGACGTTGGCTGGAACACGTTCTACGAATTTCGTAACGGACAGACACACACACATAAACACAGACAAAAAGACGTAAACACCTTAGCCGGTTATTATAAGTCATGATTCTTTTGAAAGTTCGGAATGAAAATGTTAAAAGTTATCCGAATTTTAAGCGAATAAAGATGACGGTTAAAGAATTTTGCGATTTTGGAAACGTTCAAGATCCTGGTCTGAAACAAACATTAAAAAAGAAAAAGCAGCAAATGCATGATTAAATGCCTTTTCATTGCCATTGTACCAGGTTTCACGATTGCTTAAAAAGCCAACAAAACTTTGGGACACCTTTATAGTTCGAATTTGCCCATCCGTGTTTCCAACAGCTCAGATTTTGAAACATTCTAAGATAGCTGGTTTCTCCAGTCTCGCCCGGGTCATGTCTTCAGATCTGGTACGGAGACCTTTGCCCATTTTTTAGCATCAGGTAGAGATCATGTCTTCCTTTTCTTATTTGTTAACTCTAATTTCCTGCTCTCCTTCAGCGCGCTTGCTCCAGCTTCCCCCTCCCCATTCCCTACCCTTCCCGGGAGACGGTCAAGAGCGATTTCATGGAGTTCACCAATCTGACAGCCCAATTTGGAGCTATGCGGGTCTTTTGATGATACCAGACGAAAGCTTACTAGTTATCTGAAGCTCCCACTTGCTCAGTTTAACGCCTTTTGGTGAAAACTGGATTGAAATATCCACAAGGAAGTCATCGTGTGCTTTTTCACTCGTTTTTGACCTCCATCTCTCACGTTCTGAATCTGTCCCCAAACTGATGAAAGCGAGCAACCCGGGGATATCATACATGTCTTGTTAGTTTAAATTGCTCATAGACAACCATAAAATATTAAAAATGTGCTAGTCAGTGTTCATCTGGCAACTATTGGTTGGCTAATAAATAAGTTCGGTTTGACATGCTTTTTCGAAAGTCTGTAACAAATCGACTAGCAGATATTTAGCAAAGATTTTTTGCCAGGAGGTAGCTTCAACCCTCTACTATCACCTGTCAAATAGTCGCAGTTTTTGGTCATCAATAATTAGCAAGTATGCCCTTATATGTCTAGCCTTCTGAAAATTCGCTTTTTTGAATTTCTAAGTATCGTTCTCAGCCCATAGTGAGCGCACAGATGACTAATTTGGTGGTTAGGTGTATACAGCCTTTGGCTACATGGCGAACCACAATGGAGATTGTGATCTGTTGTTTGTGAATTTCTGCAGCCAAAAATGTGAGAATTTCCAGGCATTTGCGCATAGGAGTCAGTTTTTGGGCAGTCGGAATCGCTCGAGTTTGACCATCAATGGCCATACAAATTGTTGGAAATTTCAGAAATTGCGGTGTGGAGGCCAGCTGTGCATTTTGCACCCAACTTTAGCTCCTTTTTCGGGGCATGATTTTTCAGAAATTCGATGAAAAAATTTGACTATTTCCATTTCCTGCACAATTTCGTCGTCAAAATGATGATTGGTGCTCAAACAGGGTTAACCATCCGATTCTCCCTGATTTGCTCTTTCTAATGGTACCAAACATTCTTACACAAAGTAATTTGTAAGATTTGTACAAACCGTTGAAAACGACCGAACTTATTTTTTAGCCAACCTAATAGAATCGCGCCTCTCGACATACACACCACCTAGCCATTATGCTGCGCTGCATGAGTTTCTTGTGTCAAAGTAGTTCATCCGTTATAGGCTCATCTTCAGCAGAATAAGGAAATCATCAGAGAGGATTTTCCATTTGAAATTTCGAGAGAACGACTGTTTACCAGCCTATGTACACATGGAAGTAGACTCTTGTTAATGGAGACGCTACAGAGAAGGATAGAACGCACTTTTACCTTTGTACAGATGTTTTGCGTTTGGGTGAAATGAGGGGTTTTCTAAGCCAAAATTTTCTAAAAAGTAAAATCGCTGATCAGCGCTTGATTCAAACTTTTGTGCCGCTTAGAGAAAGCTCTAAAACGGCAACTGTTGAGACTTCGTTCAGACAGCTCTTAGCATGTTGGCTGGACACCAGCGAAAAGTACAGGTGTCGAAATCGCCATTTTCTACTACTAAAAACTTTGCCTTCAAAAATTACAAACCAAAGATCTTTAGGATTGCTTCAAAATTGAAAAGCAGGTTTTGTAGAGCAAATTTGGATTTCTCGAATAACACAGATACTTCCCTAAACCAACTGCACCACCAGAAAACGACGGCAAAATAAAAACGCTACGAGCTTATGAAACGACCCAATAGCTTCTTCTTACCCTGCTGGAGAAGGCTTGCAAATACAGATGAAGACTACTATCTTGAGATCTTCCTACTTTTACCGATTTTACGCGAATTTTTCTATTAACATCTCGAGCCTAAAATTTAATGAAGCCTAAGTTAAAAATTGAAAATTTTAGCCAAAGCTTAGTGAATATCTAGCAATTTGCTTCAAGGCTCGGGACGCTGATTCATATATGAGGTTTGCAAAGCTTCGAAATGACAAAAAGAACTTTTCTGAAAGCTCTCTAGGTTGCACGTGGACGAGGCGTGTACGCTGCGGCGGTCGCGGTTGCCGCTATGTGGTTGAAGGCAGCGTCCCACCAGACTGAGGGTAACTGGTTGTGGTGGTAACGTAATAGTAGATCCCCCAACTAAGCGACGACAAAAGTTTGCAGCGCGAAAGGGGGTCTACGAAGTCTACAAGTCGCCCATCTAGTGGCCCGAATCTTACGTTAGGCTCGGGTCAGTGCGAGATGCCTGCAAGGTAGAGACGCACAGTTGTTGCAGGACCCTGCGCTCATGACTGTGTGCGCTATACGCACTCTTTGCTTGCAAATCGATACCGCTGTGTGGCCTACCGTAAGATTCGGGCCACTTTCGGAGCGAACAGGCTTGGCAGACCCCTCCTTCGCTCCGAACTTCAATCGTCAATTATTCAGGGGTTCTACTTCAACATCGTCACAAAAGCCCGGCACCCATCTTTTTGCCGGGACGCTGCCTTTGAGGTTCGGGCGACCGTAAGATCCGCACCACTTCAAAGCGATCTGGGGGAGTGAGGGTATCTAGAGGGAGGGTTTGTGCAATAGTTTTAGATCGAACCCGGGTGCTCGATTATGATAATTGCCAAGTAAATTTAAATCTGCCTTCAATTGCCCCACATTATCAACTGCTCATAAGACCGCATGTGTCTCTGGAGCAGATCTGGTGTTGTAAAAGGTTGATGTGCAGCACCCCTTTTGAGGATGAGAAAAGGGTACAAATGGAAGAATTTGTGTAACATTCAATGGATTTGTGTGTAATTTAGCAAATCTCACTGACTGGTGTTCTATCAGCCCAAATGTATGTTACGGGCGATCGCTATAATGCAATAACAATTTCAACTGCATTCATTGCGCCCACTCAAAAGTCATGAGCACTCCGAAAGACTATCACAGTGCTGTTCAGCTTGGACGCTTCAAGTATTCAAAAACTGTCATTTGCATCCAGAAAGCTGCGAGAAGAGACGAAAGCTGAACTGAGGAAACTGACACAACGTAAACATTGCCTGTATTGTTGCCTTTGCTTCGTACATGACTGCTTAGAATTGAGCCAGACTTCGCGGAGTACGCTTGCTATCTATGTGCGTATGCGCGGCGTACGTCGTCACGCCGCGCATTCTGGCCCATCCTTGGTGAGCTAATGACATGCACTTAAAGGAATTTGTTGTTTTTCCTGCGAAATTTGCCCGAGATGAAATGGCAATGGCGCATTGTATTTCAATAAGCAGCATGACATGGTGCTAGCCTTGAGGATGACTATTCCAGAAAGATCCAGCAAGTTCGCTGCGCACTACGCTATGTCGGAATTGAGGATGAGGCAGGGCCCGGCATAGCTGAAATCAAGCTGAACAATTGACAGAGAAAAGAACAAAGGGCTTATTTTCCGAATTCCGCTTCCCGGCATTTAAACGATATACGCTTTCACAAACAAAGCGATATTTACAACCAAAACACAATGGTGTCCACCAAATTCGGTGTGTGCATGAGCGTGAAGGAACTCTGTGGCTTGAAATATCTATAAAAACTTCTGTGAATAAAAGCCGTGCTGATATTTTCCCAATTGGAAGATTGCTATGGCCTTTGCTCGCAAAAGTTTTCGTACTTGTTTGCATAAATTGTGCCTTCACGGCAAAGATTTTTTTTCATAAGGCAAAAATGGTTTCATAGTTGTTGTTCTAGGCTTTTTATGGCCCTGAAAAGATCCAAATAACCACCGCAAACTGCTCCGTTCGCAAAGCGCGCCCCTAAGCAAACCAAGCTCAGTGTTTACGGTTGTTCTTCTATTTTCCTTTTTCTTCTTGTGCTCTTTTTTGTTTTGCGAGGAGCGGAACCAGGGTAAAAATGTCAAAGGAGACTCCTTTTCTTTTTGATGCTGTTTCTCTTTATGTGAAAGGGAAAGAGGAGGGATAGAAAAGGTTAATGGGTTTTCGTCTTGTTTTTAAAATCGAAAGGTTCTTCGTTTCAATCTCCTTGATTCAAGATGGTGCCGAGTCCTGGTATGAGAATAATTCTTGTCAGAAACAAATTTCCCCTTTTGTCAGAATGGAAACCAAGCAGCTTTGGCTAGCTAATCGTGTCCAGCGAACTCTTCAGAATTAGTGCGCCGTGAAAGGGTGCTTTGTGTTACGATGCTTTGAAGATCTGAGTTCCCAGCCTACTCGCAGAAAACCTCTCAAATTTTCGTTATAACGTGTTATATAAAAGATTTCATAGCTGTGCTAAACATTCTGGTGCTGTCAAATGTGGTTTTAATTTGTTTTTTTTCAGTGAAGCTGGCTTGCTGATGTAGTCCTCTACTTTACGTGGTCATGAAATGTAACGCAAAAAATGCTCAAAGCTCATTTAAGAACTCATCTTAAACGGTTTACCTCACCTGTCCACTATTCTTTAACCTTAAATGGTTCACTGTCATAAATACCAATTTCTCTTAGTCGCTGTGGGAGGAGTTTAGGAGTTTTACTGGTAGGAGTTTTCGACAAGTTTTAGGCATCTGGGAGACGAGAATTGCTTTTAAAACTTCCAAAAAACCAAAGGACTTCAAATTAAGGTTTTTGGAGATGCTGAATTTAATAACAAAGTTTTCCACTACCGCACTCTACGGTTACTGCAGTATGCGCACTGTAATGCTGGATTTTTGGCTTTTTTTCCAAAATGCACAAAATCAACGTTGCAGTTGCAAACACGCAGAGATTAATCAAATCAATTCATTAGCTGTGTTTACTGATTTTGTAATTCCTTCCACTCACTATTTGCAATTAATAAAGAATGAAGAAGCCTTAAGGATCAACAGAACTTTGGACAAAAACAAGGTTGATTTTTGGCAAAAAGCCAAATTCAGCGTTACAATGCTACCGTAGGAAGTCGAAGAGTACGGTAACTGAAGACTTTGCAGTTAGATCCAGCGCCCTCGATAACCTTAGTCGTCCTTCGGTTTTTTTTTTGGAATTCTGAAACAATCCTCGTCTATCTGCAGCCAAGAATTAGTCAAAAATTTCCACCGTAATCCCACAATAACTAAGAGAAACTTGTAGTTCTCAGTCTACTCTAGATTTAAGCTGAAGCTAGCCCTACCGTATGGCACCCGATAGTCCGCGAAAGCTTTCCATATAAGGAAGCTATTGGAGATCGGGACACCCTGTATTATATATTGCGTGCGATCTTGTCATTCATTACGTTCGCTCTAACTTGGCACTGAAGCTTTTAATCTCTTTTTTGAATCCCTCTCATTTTCGACATGCTACCTTCAACGTTGCCTTGTTTGACAAGTAGAGCTATATCCGCTATTTAGATCGCTCAAATCAAAATAAATGAGTTTTTCCCAAATCCTGGCTGATAAGGAAAAACACTTGGGTTTTGTTACTACTTAAAACTTTCCATCGATACTCTCCTTATTTAAAAGGAAGCCACAACAGGGCGGAAAAGTACGAAGGAGACTACCAATGTCAGTGAAGCCAAAAAGAAGGCAAAGAATTTGAAAAAAGGTTTTGGCCTTTCGCTCTTCATGTGGACCACCTGTATTTCTTGCAACTTTAGCTTTCATCTGTTTCTGCTAGGGGCATAGTAGTCACCACTGAATGAGACTTATGCCTAGTCTTGATTTTGCTCATGTCGTAGGAAGATAAGTGAATTTATACGTCAGCATAATATGACTACGTTTGCGTATGACGCTTGTTCTTCGTTATGTACAGTTTTCTAACCAGCTTGATGACATAAATCAAAGCTATCGCTAGAATTTTGTTTCCTAGACTTGATATCAAATAGTAGTTGTAATGTATGTGTAAACCTCTGCAGCGTTGCACGACATTGTTCACTTCACGCAATTGAGGCAGGAGCGTCTAGATGCTTGGTGATATGCAGCTGTAACGGCTCGCTCACTACTGTGAAAATAAGGGAAAGGAGATGATTCACAAAGAAACACAAAATATGGAGGTCGTAGCTTGATACGACCATGCCTCTGTTCAACATGTGAGAAGGAATAACAAAGCCTTTAGATGGATAGACAATGGAAATTTCAACAGCAAACATAAGCTTTTTACAATCTATCCCTTTCCCTGCAGGGATGATGTCATAAGAATTTCGTGGTTTCTCACGCACTTTGCCGTCTCATTTAAAGAGAGAAATTGCGAATCTTGAGCAATATGCCGTGGTAATACTAAAAGAATGGAATCAATAGCTGGTAAGAAAAAACCACAAGACTATGATGCGACATCAGAAGCGAATCAAATTCATGGCAAAATTATTGATATTATGCACGATTCTATCGACAACGTTCTTACACTACGCCGTCTATGGACACAATCACTACCCATGTATCCGAGTTCATTACGGCCCACCTTACCGGCCCGTCTTTAGCCTGGTAAGTTGCGCAAGTGGATGGATGCATGAGTTTAAGCGCTTTCGGATTTTAGGTATCTTTACGTCATTATATGTATCCTTGTGCTTAGCCGATGCCGTGTGGTCAATTGCGTGCTCTGTTGGTTGCCACTGATTTTGACAGTTTTATACTTCACAGTGCGAAACGACCTGGACAAAGGCATAAATGTTCGTTGTATTCCGCCATGACTTCATGTTGAAAGGTTATCCACAATGGCAGCTGCACGCGATTAAGAGAGTCTCAAACAACGGAAGCAAAATTATATAAAATTCCGAGTTTTTTAAATCACTTTTTTGATGTCATACCAGAGTACAACGTTTTTCGAAGGCTTCACAGCTGGAGGGAATATAGGAGATACAAAGGATGCACCGGAAAACAGCATGGCTGCTCTAAAACTGGTGAAACCTTTTTTCGTGTTCAAGGGTTTTGATGATCAATTCGCTTAAGGCTTTGGAAAGCAAAAACGTTGTAATGTTTGATGTTCGTTTGGCTAGTGATGGAAAAGCCGTTGTAATCAAGGATGAAACGACTAACAGAACAATGAAGCGCAGTCTGATTGTCGCTGACAACCCCTCTAACAGTTTGACCAATCTGACATCCCTATCTTCTAGGTCCTTTTCAGTATTTTCGTTTTTACAAAGAGAAATTCTCTTATTTTTAGTGAACGCATCCCACTTCTTAAGAGTGTGCTGGACGAATGCCGAGAGAAGGATGCAAAGGTTGTGATACGAACACACGAAAGCTCTGCTGCGGTTTGTCAGAAAGAGTTGGAAAATCAAAGAAAATTTCCGCAAACATTATAGCTGCTTTCCGAAATCAGCGACTACGTCAAGAAATACCAACTTTACACCAAAGTCGTCGTGACAAGCGGATTACCCACGGTATCATTCTACATGAAACGACACGACAAAAACATGCTTACAGGTCATCAGTGCTGGTGTAGAAATTTTATTTTAGACGAGTTGATTTAACAATAAGATTTTCCAGGCATAACTTATTCGCGACATGGCGCTGTTCATTATTATCAGAAGACGCATCCGAAAAGCCTTTTCTTTAAACTACTTGGACAGCTTATCGACGACTCCATGCAAGTCTGTACGTTACAAAAAAAACTGGATCTACATGTGATACTGCATTTCCGTAAAAGTAACGATTTAGTGATGCGTTCGCTACTTTTACCGAGATTTATTGGAACGGAAGTGATCTTTGTCAGCTACAAAGATGTCAGCGAGTGAGTATATGCATTTTGCTTCTAGCGTTATTTGTCTAGCAAATCATGGCTCAAGCCGCCCAACGATACGCTTCTAACAGATTTATCTTTCCGACCATAGTAATTTCCAATCGTAATGGGCCGTAATATGTCAGAGCAATTACACTTAGCACAACAATTACTCAATATATTGTTCTTGGTAGCGGCAAAAGCTTCTAAAATGTTTATTTTTTCTTCAACAACAAAATTTTTTGCCTGCGATATAAACTAGTCGACTTATACGATCAACTTTGAGGAATTTTGCAAACGATGTTACTGCGCAAAAAATGCATCTGGTCGCCTATGATGTTAACGAAAAGAATGAACAAGAACGGCTGCATGACATTTCAGTAAGTACTACATGCTTGATCTTCAGACTTTATAACAAGCGTAATGTAGGACTCCCATTCTTTAGATATTGATTATCTTAAGAATGAATGCAATATTTGTGCTGAATTCCTCATCGTACCTGAGGTTACGGTAAACCGCCGATTTTCTAATTAGAAAGTAATATGAATTGTCACAGATCTGGACGAACCTTAATTTAGGTGGGTTATAGGACACTCTGATTGCGAAAATGTTGCTCACTTTGTTTGTTAGGCTTGATTGCTTTGAAAAAGTTAAGTTACGAAAAATCAGTGGGCGAGTTTCTAAACATGACAACTATTGAGTATGATATCCGGTTCAGCACTTCAAATTTCGCTGTGAAAGTTGCGCCAAAATCGATGGTTCGGACTCGAAGCAACTTTGACGAGTTCGGCATGTTGATGTGCACTCTAAAGCCAGTTGGCAATTCAAAAGACTGACAGAATCAACAGTTCCATTGCAAACATTCAATTTAAAAGTTGGCCGTAGTGTGAACGCTGAAAGAGTGTTCTAACCGCTCATGTTGCAATTTTACCTAATACAACAGAAAGTAACCCTCCAACAGAACTATTCTTGTTCTTGTCTAATGCAGAAATTCCTTCTCGCTCTAATTTATTGAAGAGTACAGCAAAAATGAAAAATCACCTGTTTTTAAAAGAACAGCACACATGTTTATCGAACACGCTATTTCCAGTGCGTTTTGGGTCTGATAAACTCCCCCAATTTTGCAGTTCTGAAATCATGGCTTAATAGAAGTGTTTGGGCATGCGCAATCGATGCTTTCAATCACCATTTACAGCTACGTTTAACGAGTCTATCTGCTTAATGCAGTTCATGCAACCGATTATTTCAATGCACATCTTCACTATCATTGACATACGTTTTAATCTGTCTCCAACAATTCCGAAAATTTTTGCAGGTCCCGTATTTTACCCCAGTCCTCAAGGCTTGAAGAACAATCAAGGACACATGTGACTGGAGCCTTCAAATAAATATTTATCAACTATTGTTCACATGATAAAATTTGGAAGGCTGGCTCATAAGTGAACATTTTCTGAGGCATTTAACGGAAAACACACGAGTCTCTGGAGTTTTTGCAACAAACGCAATGTCAAGCACTCTGGTGGCCACCTGTAGTAAATGAAGCATTGCTGCAATCATCAAGGCAACTTGCGTTTCTTTTGTTTATGAGAGACCACGCTTCCGCCTCTCACCCAACGCCAACCAAAAAAAAAATGACAAAGAGAAGGAAGTACAAAATGGCAAATCCATTTACGTCGCGTATAATCGCTTCTTCAGCAGAATGATGGTGGGCAAATAATTTTTGCTTTTTATGATTTCCAATATGGACGGAGTTACTGGTTATTGCTGTTTTATCAATGAAATCAAATTAGTATAAAGAATATGCCAACAAATGACAAAGATGAGAAAATCACACGAGAAACCCTCTGCTTGCTAATACCCCTCATAGGAATAGCGTGAAAAAAAGCTAACGATATAATCGAGCTAAAACTCAAGAAAAAGCAGACTTTTAGATTTAGTTTTCTTCAGTTGCCTGTGCGCGTCCCCCGTAAATCGCCCTTATTACTGGTAAGTTAAAGGCAGCGTCCAGGCAGATTTAAACCTATGGGGATTTTACTGGAAAGTACTTTTGGGGCACTAACTAAGGCGCTGCCCAAGCGGCAGCGCAGGTAGTGCTCTATTGACTAACGAGGGAAGGATACTTGGTGACCGTGGCCTTTCGCAATGAGATGCACATACTAGATGCACCTTGAAACGCTGATTCCACATCTATGTTCATTATCTGCTGTGCGACTCTCTGAACGAAATTATGGACTTTTTTCCATATCGATTTTACGAGATTTAGCCAGTCAGAATCGTCAGTATCCACGCATTTTGCACTCCGATTTATCGGAGACAGTTTTCCCAAGCTTAACGTAAAGCTTTACTTTATTTGGACGCTCTTTTGTAGTGCGTAAGCGAAAATTCTAACGATATTGGTGAATACTGCATCAAAAACAGTGCAAATTTTGGTGGCAAGAAATGTTCATAACTTCTTTCGGAAGAGCGCACAGCAGATACCGAAAGCAGATTTGGAATCAGCGCTTCAAGATACATTCAATGGTGTACGTTTCATTTCAAAAGGCCACGGTCACCAAGTATCCTCCCCTTGTAAGATATTCCCCTCGAAACTGGACCCCGCGATCGTATTCGCATGGATTCATGGCAGTTTCGCGCCAGGATTCACGCTTTGCGATCGCGGGGTCAGTTTCGAGGGGAATATCTCAGCGCTTAGAGCACTACCTGGGCTGCCGGTCGGGCAGTTGCTTAGTTAGGGCCCCAAAATTACTGTCCACGCGAGATCCCCATGTGTCCAGACTCGCCTGGACGCTGCCTTTAACAGTTAATTGAATAGTATAGCGCAAATCTCGCATCAACCGTGGCGGTTGAAAAAATTAACAAACAGCCATTATCCGCAGTAAGTAAGTAGAAACTCACTGCTGAAACTCAGAGTCAACTCAGAGTTATCCTGAGTTAACTCACTCCCTCCATTTCTCTTAACATGTCTTTAAACACCAATTCTGGGAAACGATGATATAGCAGAATACTCAGCAAAAACTAGTTCATTTAAAGTAGGGAAACATAACCTAAGTTGTTTCGTACGAGAGACCAAACGCGCAGATGATATCTGCGATAACTCTAACTTGGTGCGCGTTTCAAAGACAAAAAAAATCATCATTATAAAACAGGACAGCGAGTAGGGGGGGGGGTGAAGTTTCCTTTTCTTTAGCCTTTTTCAGGCTTTGTGCACACATCTTTTGGAAAACCCGAGCCCCTTTAGTTTTAGCTGACGCCAGAGTTTGCGTCACGATCTTGGATATTGCCAGCTCATGACTGATTACGCGGCAAGCTCAATGGACTAAAGTTTTGGGTCAATTTTGAAAGGGTATGAGTTTCGCAAAAGATAAGGGCAGTTCCAATAGATAATGAGCTCTTTCCAAATGTGTGATTCTCCTGGATAAGTTTGTCCCGGGGCCGCCATTTTGATTTTTTCGAAACAAAGGAATGTTTCGTGCAACTTATTTGCCAGGAGCGTTTCCGAAAGTGCGCTTTGCTTCCGTAATATCATAAAATTAATTCTACAAAGTTTATTTTTTTTTTGAAACTCCCGCTGACTTATCGGTGAACTGCTCATAAAAGCCTTACACTGTTTTTAGCTTTCATCACCGAATTTCTGTGGTTCTAAAATTGATTCTAAAAAAAGCAATAGAAAAAGCGTTGTAAACTTGCGCTTTCATTCGCGCATTTTTTTTTGATTTTCTCGAACTATCATTTTCTGTGGGTATAATGGCGCGCCAAACTCGCAAGCGCCAGCGCTTAAGCGAGTTTGGCGAGCCTTTCCAGCAGCTGAAATTTGGTGTATCGTTAGGTACCCGCTGTTAAAGCAGTCAAGGGGCGTGGCTTAGTGTATACCGCTAATGGCTGGGTACCTAACGCCCGCACCTCGGTTGGGTACCTAATGCCCCCCCCCCCCTTTGACGGAGTTCAAACCTTGATACACCGTGGGTGTCAAGCAGTCCCGCGCTGGAGTGGTCAGTCATTTCAAATTCCACCACCGCCTATTGTCATTCAGTGCATAGTATAGACGCTTCTAGAAAAGTTATAGCTATAATACCCTTTCGCCGTTTTCCCTAGTAGCTAGGGTCCAAAGCATTTTTATTACACTACCGTTAACGAGCTTCAAACACTACCAATTAAAGATTTTTTTTGTCCAACAAGGCTTTACTTACAGCAATTACTCACAACTTTAACGCGTACTTTGTTGTTTCATAATTAGTATGCTGTAATCTTTCTTCTCTTTGTGTTACTTTACTTTGTATCGCTCTTTGTGTTGTTGAGCTTGAGAGCCATAGCCGTCTTACCTTCACCAGACTATCTAATGGACGATCTCGAATCTGAACTAGAGCACGTCGGTTGCGGCAGAGCGCATCACATTCAGCCCAGTTCAATCTCAAACAAAATTTTTTTCTCCCCCCTTTTATGCCATTTTCCGACTGTTAACAGTCTTCTTGATTGGATTTTGCTGATTTTGAGCAACGTTTCCTGCTGTTATGCTCGTATCTTCAACTGTGATTTTAGATTAGGACATACTGTAGAAACAAGTAAGATTGAAATTTGTGCTAGCTAAACACCACAGGGTTTTGTTGTTTTTAGCGCTATCGGAAAGGAAAGAATGTCGCTTTTTATTTCTCTGTCATGGCATAGCAACAACGCAAACCCCAAAAACATGTATGGGTATCATCCAGTAGAGCAAAGCAAGTGCTACAAAATGGTTTTACTGCTTTTTGCACCAAGTAATATCCACGTGAAGTTCGAAGATAGAATCTGAAAAGTTCAATTGACCTACTAACCAAAAAATTCGGTCTCCGTCCAAAAAAACCCTACAACCCCTAACTTGCACAAGAACCTACATCCCTCATCAAACATTCATATATAAAGTTCCTGGAATTTTTCATTGTCTAGACATCGGAAAATTGGGAATTTCTGCTTCTGCCAAAGGGGTATTTCGCTCAAGTATTATAGAACATACCACTTACTATGGAAGGATACCAACATAATCTGGCAAACCAAAAGAAACCAATCTAGCAAGCAAACCAAGAAAGGATGTATTTCGATAGACGCCCCTTCAAACGCTATTTTAGATCTGCTTTTCTTTTCTGCGAAACAACTCTTCAAAGAAGTTATGAGCGTTTGAAAGTCTGAATCTGTCATGTGTAATGTGGCTTAAAATTAGCTAAAAGCTCTAAAACAACACCAGCGTACTCCACTAGCTGAGTTCCGTTCTTGTAGTTGGTACACTTGATACAAAACTGATAACCCACTTTCGCGTGTTTTTGTATAACTTTCGCCAATTTTACTCCCCTGAAACATGACAAATTTGGACTTTCAAACGCTCATAACTTCTTTCGGAGAATTTTTCCGCAGAAACCGAGAGCGAATTCAGAATCAGCTTTGAAGATGCTTCTAATGATATACGTCGCGATATCGTTTTTGGTTCAGCAGACCATGTTGGTAACCTTCCCTCATTAGCTGGAATGTACAACTATAGATTTTCAGCCGTGTACAAGTGTTAATTCTCGAGAAAGGTCCTCTTTTTCTTCTGTTCTCCATGTTGAATTTGAAATTTCTCGAAAACTAACTCTTGTAGAAGGCTAAAAATCTGGTTTATATTTCCCAAGCTAATTAGCACAGAATTACTCACGCGAATACAGCCCAGCATCAAAAAAGTCTTTTTTTCCAACCTAACAGAAAAATTTGCAATTGTTTTGATATGTCAGGTTTTGACGTAAAACTAATAATATAGCAAGTTGAAAATTTGCCGAAGATAACTCAAAAGTTTTTTAATTTCAAAGTTGCATTTTCTATATGTAACATGTACATATCGAGAAATACAACGCTTCACATGATTTGAAATTGAGGAGAAACTTTCTAAAGAGTTATAGATATTTTTTACGTTAGTGTAACAAACTATCAATCATTCCTGCCAACCTAATACAATACCGCTCACATTTTTTGAAAAAAAGACGCGAATGTATGGACATGTATGGACATGTACGGACATGTCCATACATGTATGGACATGTCCGTACATGTCCATACATGTCCATACATTCGCGTCTTTTTTTCAAAAAATGTGAGCGGTATTGTATTATGGTAGGTTCTTACTATGACAACCTTATATTTTACGCTCTATGATCACTGGATCTGGGATTCCACCACAGATTTCTGTGATTGCACCAAAATCTACGCTTCCTGCATTTTAATTTGAACAAATCACTGCGCCTTCCACATTTGACAATTTTCTTATAATGTCGTATAATTCTCTTGAACCTCAAATATCACCTTTGGAACATGTTCTTTGAGTCTTAAATGACATGAGCTATATGTTTCAACACCTGTGAATGTTTATGTGTTTATGTCACTATGCTTTGATTTCTGAACTAATCGCGGCTGAATGACTCTCGGGTGGTCTTTC